AACTTTCTATTATTTGAATAACCCTTTCCCATGTCTTCTAAAGTGTACATTTTATTTTAATTGTAATACATAAGTTTCTACATAATTAGGTGTGGGCTCTTTTAGTTTAACTATAGAATAGCATTTATACCCCTTTTGCCTGTGAAATATACATCACGTTTGTTATCAATGATTTATAAGCTGGTGGGTTTTCAAGAGTTAGTTTATAGAGACACATTACTTTTTTTGAGGTGGATTCTCTTTTAGATCATAAAATGCCAGCATATTTTACCACCAAGTGTTATAAAATACACAGAACAAGAGGCTCATTATCCCCACATTGTGTGACTCTATAATTTGTTTTCAACCTTTATAAATTGAATGTGTAAAGAACTAGGAGGATTTCTTTCTCAAATTGAAAAAAAAAAAAAATAGATTCTGACATCCCTCCAAAAATAAAGACCAATTGTCAGTTTCATTAATAGAATATTTTGTCTAAATACACACACACACACACACACCCCTTCAAGAAAGCTAAAATTGAATGAATTAAATACACAGCAATTAGATTATGAATTTTAGGCTAGCTGATGTTAAATGTTGCTACATCATTATTATGCCCTGCCAATGTAAGCCACCATAGTGCCAGAAACTAGGTCCAGTTATAATGCCACAAAGCTTGCTGTTCTTACCAAGACTCAGCTGTTTGTATTGAATTCCTTGGATTCAATGAGCCTTTGCAAATTTTCATATTAAAAGCTGATGCTATTTTTGCTATTTTTCTGTTGCTTTTATACGAAAGCAAATTTTTGTCAATCCCACTCATCTTTCTTTTCTGATGCCACTGCAGAAATGGATTTTTAAGGTTTTCTGTAATTCCTTAGCTCTCCCCAGCATGATTAGAGACTCTAGTCACTCTACTTCAGCTGCCCATCTTCTATGTGGGGTATGTACACATATATAATGATGTGTCCAAATGATTATGATTTGTCAAATATAAATATTTCTATAGGAATAGCTACCAGAGTTAGTATGTTTGTAAAATAAGTGTAATGTTATTAATTTAAACTAATATAAACAATTTGATTATATTATTTTATATACTGTCTGATATAAAGATCATTATATTAATATTTTAATGAAGAGTTAATACTTCATTATGTTACTCCCTGCTAATTAGAGGAGAAACTTATTGAAAAATGGTATTTTTGTGGGAGATCTATTTCAGGATGAAGAAATTTCAGTTAAAAATATGTAAAAATGACACATGTAATCAACCATGACCTAATGGGCTAGGTAAACACAGCAATGTGATGTAGGCCTGGTGTCTGGGCCTGTATGCCTTGACTGCTAATCCATGGAGGGAATTATCACAGCATCACTTGATATTGATTCAATTATCCCTGTTTTGTTCATCAGCTAGATCACTGTCCTGCCTTTTCTCTTTTCAACAGAAAATTATCAAGGCAAGTTGAATTTCAACATGTTTACTGTAAAAATGAACCAAATCAGGCCGGGCACGATTGCTCACACCTGTAATCCCAGCACTTTCAGAGGGCAAGGTGAGAGGATCACTTAAGGTCAGGAGTTTGAGACCAGCCTGGCCAACATGGTGAAACCCTGTCTGTACTAAAAATGCAAAAAGTAGCCAAGCATGGTGGTGCATGCCTGTAATCCAAGCTGCTCAGGAGGATGAGGCAGGAGAATTGCTTGAACCTGGGAGGTGGAGGTTGCAGTGAGCCGAGATCAGGCCACTGCGTTCCAACCTGGGTGACAAAAGAATACTCTGTCTCAAAAGAAAAAAAAAAAAAAAAAAAAAAAAACTAATAGAAAATAATTAAAAAAAAAAACAACAGGTGAATTTGTCCCAGATGCATAGAGAAAATGAAATACTTACTCTTCACTAAAAGTGAAGTTAGAGATTCACTAGTGTGATTTCAAGTGGGTACCATAACTAAGATTATGTAGTTGGTAAACTAATTTTAAGTATAGGCTGTTTTTTTTTCTCTCTTATTTTTGAACTCCCGTTTGGTTGTTTTGCAACCACAAATTTTATCACCATGTCCTGTGCTTGTTTTACAATTTTGGTTTCTTTATTTTAAAAAATTATGATTAAAAATATTTGGATAGTTCCTTAATCGCTAAATTATGCATTTTTTATAATGGTTTATTTCCTCATACAGTTTATAATTTTGGACTCAACCCTGTTCTTCACATAGAGTGTTTTTCTTGAAAGCCTCATGCATTCTGGAGTGTGGCAGAGTTCCTGCGGAGCTAATCTTAGCACTGGGCTCTGCTGGACGGCAGCGGCGTTCTCTCTCTGTTTTGCTTGTATTTTAATTTCTCTGGTTGGGGTGGTGGTACCACCTGGGTAGCACAAGCTGAAAACCAAATCTCAGGGAGCCGAGAAGTTCTGATTCACTGTGGCTTGGGTAACTTTTAATGTTTGTTTTGATCCTACAACATCAGGAACATGAGGGAGTTTTTAATGTGTATGTCATCGCAGATTTGACTAAGTAGGAAATGGACTCTAGTCCTTAACGCATTGTTAGCATACTATGCGGTGAGTTTTCCCAATTTTGCAGTAATACAAATGTTGAACTATAAACTCATCCTATTTTTTAAAAATTCTTCATATATGTGATGGAAACTAGCAGGAAAAAACTCTGTTAACTCTTGTTTTCAGGTTTCTTAAATACCAGGATGCATTTGTTAGGACTTTCCAAATTCTGAGCTGCTAAGACAATTGAAATAAAACCTGAAATAGTTTTCAATTATGTAATTTCAGATTTAAAATAATTATGTAATGAAAAACATTAACATGCTTGCAAATAAAATGATAAATACTGATGCACGTCTATGCTTACGTATGTGTATGTGTCGGAATATTATGTACCCGGTGTTAGAATATTAAACCGTTTTTATTATTTTTTCTATGTGTGATTCATTCAAATTCTCATTTATTTTACTTAGTATTATTCTAAACCTGGGTATAAGCAAAGGCAGCAAGGAGTGCTGTCAGTCAATAAGCTGACTCTGTGAGAAGTGTTGGCTGCAGTTGTCATCACGATTACAGAACAGCTTTGGGGCTACAGGGCAATGACCGCTTGTAGTAACATATTACATCTATATCAATATTTTCCATGCTGAGGTTAGAATGGGAGGGTGATGACACAGGTCTAAAGTCATCCTTAAATTAAAAAAGTAACATTTTTTATTTTGGACAACTCACAAACCAATAGATTCCCGTTTTAATAGATCTGACAGGCCTTGTCTACTGATAGGCATTAGAATCTTCTCCCATGGCTGATGCTTCCTTGTGTTTGAGCAATTTCTTATTAATGACATTTTCCCTCTACTGGAACCCTATTAAAGAATTAAACTGTAGCTCTCAAGATGACGTCTATCTTGGACTACACCTGTCTATATTTGTTAAGATGACATCCATGTTAGAATCACCAGGGACAGCATGAGAGCAACAAAGGGAGCTTTCCAGATGTCAAAAGAGAGCAGGTAAGCAGAGGCTACAGATGACAGCTCTGCTCCCCACACTGTAAGTAAGGGCCTTAAAATCAGAGGCTACAGGTGACAGCTCTGCTCCCCACACTGTAAGTAAGGGCCTTAAAATCAGAGGCTACAGGTGACAGCTCTGCTCCCCACACTGTAAGTAAGGGCCTTAAAATCAGAGGCTACAGGTGACAGCTCTGCTCCCCACACTGTAAGTAAGGGCCTTAAAAACAGAGGGTACTGGTGACAGCTCTGCTCCCCACACTGTAAGTAAGGGCCTTAAAAACAGAGGGTACTGGTGACAGCTCTGCTCCCCACACTGTAAGTAAGGGCCTTAAAATCAGAGGGTACTGGTGACAGCTCTGCTCCCCACACTGTAAGTAAGGGCCTTAAAAACAGAGGGTACTGGTGACAGCTCTGCTCCCCACACTGTAAGTAAGGGCCTTAAAATCAGAGGCTACAGGTGACAGCTCTGCTCCCCACACTGTAACTAAGGGCCTTAAAAACAGCTACAGGCTGCTGCAGAATGTGACAAGACCCATACACCTCTCCAACCTCTGCATTTATCCAAAATATCAACTTTGCTCAGCGCTGAGGGCCTTAAGGTAGGAGGGAGGGGATCCCTGGAGCTGAAAAGAACTAGTTCAGATCTTAGTAGACACGATGAACTCTCCGACACTGTTCTCCCGAGTGTTCTAGTTACACATGGCTCTGCAGCTTGTTCTGGTCTAACAGCATCATTACTGATACAATTTCTACAAAACATAAATTCTGTATTCCAAAGACTAAGTGTCAACCTTTAGAAACGTTAATGATAATAATAGCATAGACTGAGAACTTTACATGTGCTATTATTTAATCCTCTAAATAAACTTACAGGATTGTCTCCCTCATACAAATGTTACAGATAAGGGAACTGGGGTTTAGATGAGAAAAGGATCTCACATTTTATAAGTTGAAGAGCATTTAAACAGTTTTGTCATTAAAATTAATTTGTGATTTGTGAATAATTTATAAGTAGCTATCATAGATACTTAGATTTGATCAATGGTTTCAAATCAAAGTTCATATCAAGTGTAACAAGTTTATAGAGATGAATAATCAAAATTATTTTTGTTCTATGCATTAACTAAGACTCATTTGAAATACATCGGCAAATTGTGAAAAATCCATCAGAATTTTGAGATAAATTAAAAGTAGGCTTCCCAAAAGTTAAGATATACTAAAACTATCTTATATATATAAGACTGTAAGTTCTTCAACAATGTATTTAAATCAATATAATTATTTTGTATAAACAATAATTTTTGACTTACATACACATTTTTAAAACTATTTTTTAATATAAGTAGAGGAACAAATATATTTCATAATGTGAAAGAAATGTGTTTCTCGCCAAAGATGTAAATGACAGTATCAGTTATCTCTGTCTAGAAATCAGATAGCATTATTTCTATAATAAATAAAATTAGAGAAATATAATATTTAGTTTTCCATGTATGCTTTGATCTTACCTGTTGATTTACAGGAAAGTTTCTGTTGATTTTTTTAATCTGCAATGATAAATAAATAATAAAAGTGAGAAGAACAAGAATATGGTAACACAAGGTCCCAGAATTTTATGCAGATGACTTTTAGTGAGCGAATATATTAATATACTATTTTCATATACTGAAATCATCACATACAAAACAACATATATCAACAGATATTTTTCTTTTTAAAATTGGCTATCAAATTATCCTACATTTCATATGAAAGCATTTTGGAAAAGATTTCCCTTTAAAATTTTTTTAACTATGAGAAACCAAAAGCCTGTGCTCAAACACTACTGAATGATTGATTATCTAACAAGAATGTAGAGAGTAGCTTTCTGTGGTTTATTTTTGCACTTTGAAATTATATTTGTGTTGGCACTCGAGAGAACAGGGAAGTACAACATCCAAACGCTAAAGGATAAAGTGTGTGTGTTGAATATTTTCAGTCAAGACTCCTGATAAAGTATAACATTTACTTTAAGAAAATTTAATCAATGACATTTTATAAGAATTTAAAGTAGATCTTCAGAGAAACCATTTCTTCTGTGATATATCATGGAAACGAACTTTATAAACCAAACAAAAATGAACATTAGGTTTGGATAAAAAAACTTACATTGCACAACGTCTTTGTTCAATAGTGCTTTTACTGGTTAAAACAATGATCTTCTAATGACTTTATAGAGAAACTTAAACATGCTAACTCTGCATACACTCTGGTGTATACATTTACACCAGAATTAATGTAGACTATTTTCACTCATGAATTGTCATTGACTTATTTTATTTTGTTCTTTTTTCATTCCCTTTTGTCCTTCTGACTACTGTGAAATAACAGTTTATTTAACAGAAAAAATACACAACGTTGGAAAATCAACAAAGGTCACATCTACAAGAACAGATTTACTAGCAAGATATTTGTCACTAAAAATGTAGAAATAGAAAGTGGAGAAATCAGAATGCTTTTACACTGTTGATGAAAGTGTAAATTAGTTCAATCATTGTGAAAGACAGTGTGGCAATTCCTCAAGGATCTAGAAATAGAAATACAATTTGACCCAGCAATCCCATTACTGGATAAATACCCAAAGGATTATAAATCAGTTTATTATAAAGACACATCCACATGTACGTTTATTGTAGCACTGTTCACTGCAGTAAAGATTTGGAACCAACCCAAATGTCCATCAAAGATAGACTAGATAAAGAAAATGTGGCACATATACACCATGGAATATTATGCAGCCATAAAAAAGGATGAGTTCATGTCCTTTGCAGGGACATGGATGAAGTAGAAAATCATCATTCTCAGCAAACTGATGCAAGAACAAAGAACCAAATACCACATGTTCTCATTCATAAGTGAGTGTTGAACAATGAGAACACATGGAAACAGGGAGGGGAACATCACACACTGTGGCCTGTCAGGGAATGGGGGATAGGGGAGAGTGAGCATTAAGAGAAATACCTAATGTAGATGATGGGGTGAAAGATGCAGCAAACCACCATGGAATGTGTATATATATCTATGTAACAAATCTGTATGTTCTGCATATGTACCCCAGAACTTAAAGTATAATAAATAAATTTTTTTAAATGTAAAAATAAAAGAAAATTTAAAAACATATGTGAGATCTGAGTAATGTTAGGTACAGAAACCATGTACTTCTTACATTATTGTAATAATTTCAAAATACCTTTTGGCTCTGCTGAAGAATCTGCTAAAGAATCTCTGAACTTACTGATATGCCTTCAGCTAAAATCAGCAGAGCCTGGAAATGCAGATGGAAAAAACTGATCTCTAAATATCTTTTATTAATCAGTTTAAAAAATCTACACTGAGTACTTTGTCAAACTCTACTTCTGGCTATATTTTACATTAGAATATCTGTATCTAAAAATAGAATATAAAAAAGTAAAGGAATAGTATATTAATGGAGAGGGATTATAACAAGACAGTGAGATATACCAACAGCTAGAATAATATGTAACAAAAATAATAATTAATATGTAAAAATATGTTTGGAAAATATTGAAATGGTCTTTAGAAAATTACGTGTAGATTGTTTTTGTCAGGTGGCAAATACAATAATGTAATAATAACATAGAACAAGGCATTAAGTCAATTATTGAAGAAGTAATATTCTTTGAAGTGAAATAATAAATTGTGTTCCTCTTATAAATTGATGTCATCATAACCTTTCAAACACTATTTCTATATAACTTTGTAATACTTTATACATGAATGATTTATGTTATCCCAGGATTATGTAAAAATATTCAAAAGGAATGAGTCAATGCTTAAATACTGCAACGTGTATTATCAATAGATTTATTTGGCAAGAAAGGAACTTGTATAAGCTGATTTCTACTGAAATCTGTAGCTTTTTAGTCGTGTATGAGGGTAAGATAATCTATTCATGTTTATTCATGTCTTCATGGAAATAAAAACTTAAATAACTAAACTATTGATTGCACAGGAATGGAAGGCAGATCATCAAAATGGGACATATGATGTCCAGCACAGAAAACTCCACCTGTTGCCCTCATTGTGGCAGCACGAAAAGGACATATATTGTATTCAGGGATTTTTCCTGATGTTGTAGATACAAAATAATTCCTTGTTAAGATTTTAAATATGCTAACATTTTAAAATAAAACAATAACTGAGGAAAGAGAGAAAATAATGAGAAATGTGATGGTTGGGTGGCTGGCAAGATGGCCGAATAGGAGCAGCTCTAGTCTGCAGCTGCCAGTGAGATCAATGCAGGGGGATGATTTCTGCATTTCCGATTGAGGTGTCCAGCTCATCTCACTGGGACTCGTTAGACAGTGAGTGCTGCTGATGGTGGGTGAGCCATCACCTCACCTGGGAAGTGCAAGGGGTTGGGGAACTCCCTCCCCTAGCCAAGGGAAGCTGTAAGGGACAGTGCCATGAGAAATGGTGCACTCCGGCCCAGATACTATGCTTTTTCTATGGTCCTCACAACCTGTGGACCAGGAGATTTTCTCTGGTGCCTACAGCACAAGGGCCCTCTGTTTCAAGCAAAAAACTGGGCAGCCATTTGGGCAGACAATGAGCTAGCTGCAGGAGTTTTTGCTTTTTTTTCATGCCCCAGTGGCACTTGGAATGTCAATAAGACAGAACTGTACACTCCCCAGGAAAGGGGGCTGAAGCCAAAGAGCCAAGTGGTCTAGCTCAGCAGATCCCACCCCATGGAGCCCAGCAAGCTAAGATCCACCAGCTTGAAATTTTCACTGCCAGCACAGCATTCTGAAATTGACCTGGGACACTAGAGCTTGGTGAGGGGAGGAGCATCTGCCATTGCTGAGGCTGGAGTAGGCATATTTCCCCTCACAGTGAAAACAAAGCCACCAGGAAGGTAAATCTGGGCGGAGGCCACTGCAGCCCAGCAAAGCCCTGTGGCCAGACTGCCTCTCATGATTCCTTCTTTCTGGGAAGGCCATCTCTTAAAGAAAGGCAGCAGCCCCAACTAGGGGCTTATAGATAAAACTTCCATCTCCCTGGAACAGAGCAACTGGGGAAAGGGGCAGCTGTGGGGACAGCTTCAGCAGACTTAAATGTTCCTGCCTCCCGGCTCTGAAGAGAGCAGCAGACCTCCCAGCACAGTGCTCAAGTTCTGCAAAAGGACAGACTGACTTTTCAAGTGTGTCCCTGACCCCAGTGCCTCCTAAATGGGAGACAGCTCCCAGCAGGGGTTGACAGACACCTCATGCAGGAGAGCTCTGACTGGCAACTGGCTGGTGCCCCTCTGAGACGAAGCCTCCAGAGGAAGAAACAGGCAGCAATCTTTGCTGTTCTGCAGACTCTGTTGGTGATACCCAAGCAAAGAGGGTCTAGAGTGGACCTCCAGAAACTCCAGCAGACCTGGATCAGAGGAGCCTGACTGTTAGAAGGTAAACTAACAAACAGAAAGAAACAGCATCAACACCAACAAAAAGGATGTCTAAACAGAAACCTCATTTGAAGGTCACCAACATCAAAGACCAATGGTAGATAAATCCACAAAGAGGAGGAAAGCCAGGAGAAAAGGCTGAAAATTCCAAAAACTAGAATGCCTCTCCTCCACCAAAGGTTCTCAACTCCTCACCAGCAAGGGAACAGAACTGGACAGAGAACGAGTGTGACAAATTGACAGAAGTAGGCTTCAGAAGGTGAGCAATGACAAACTCCTCCAAGCTAAAGGAGCATGTTCTAACCCAATATAAGGAAGCTACATACCAAGGAAAAAGGTTAGAGGAATAGGTATTAGAATAACTAGTTCAGAGAAGAATGTAAATGACCTGATGGAGCATAAAATCACAGCATGAGGACTGCATAAATCATACACAAGTATCAATTGCCAAACTGATCAGGCAGAAGAAAGGATATCAGAGATTGAAGATCAACTTAATGAAATAAAGTCTGAAGACAAGATTAGAGAAAAAAGAATGAAAAGAAATGAACAAATTATCCAAGAAATATGGGACTATATGAAAAGATTAAACCTATGTTTAATTGGTGTAGCTGAAAATGATGGGGAGAATGGAACCAAGCTGGAAAACACTCTTCAGCTCTTAAACTATTATCTCTTAAAACTTCCCCAACCTAGCAAGAAAGGCCAACATTCAAATTCAGGAAACACAGAGAACACCACAAATATACTACTAGAGGAGAGCAACCCCAAGACACATAATTATTAGATTCATTAAGGTTGAAATGAAACAAAAAAAAATGTTAAGGCAGCTGGAGAGACAGTTCAGGTTACCCACAAAGATCTCTCTGCAGGAACCCTACAAGCCAGAAGAGATTGGAGTCCAATATTTAACATTCTGAAAAAAAAAATCGTATAACCCAAAATTTCATATCCAACCTAAGCTTCATGAACGAAGAAAACAAAATCCTTTGCAGATAAGCAAATGCTGAGAGATTTTGTCACAATCAGACCTGCCTTACAAGACCTCCTGAAGGAAGCACTAGATATAGAAATGAAAAACTGGTAGCAGCACTGCAA